TCCACGGGACCTTCGTTACCGCCATGACGCCACCCAAGAAAAGCCTGAATATTGGTGGGCAGATGACATAATCTAACATGCGGCCTCTGCCACTCGTACGCGTCGCATCGATGTTCGGACAAACTGGGGTAACTTTGAGCTTCTTCGCCCACGTGGACTGCATGAACTCATCTGGGGTAACGTTCCAGCCACCCACTGCCACCCACGGTGTAGAGATACTAGCCGTCAACTGTGTCAGCTGCTTCATCTTCGCTGCATTGGGCCCTGTCAGGCCTGGTCCGCTGTCGAGGTATACCACGAAGAGTGTGATACGTATTCCTCCCTTCAAATCCCAGTGCACCACCGCAATGTCATTCAACTCCTTCTCGAAGGCGCTGCCCCCCTTGACGGTGGGTAGGTGCACTGCAGTCTGGAGGTGCGAGCGACGTAGCCAACATACTCCCCCATGAGTACCGTTTGCGGATCGCCCCGTCTTCCTGGCTGCTGTCCAGGTGCACTGTGAATGCCAGCCGTCTGGTTGAAGCCGCTGGGCCTCGCTGGCTGAACTCGTCCTCTGAAGGTGGTGTTCCACTAGGCCCACCACATCGTATTTCGAACCCAATATGAAATCACGAACTGACGCATTGTACTGTGAGATATTCGCCACGAATACATGTGAGTACTGCTGGTCATCGTACAAAAACGGGTCCTGCTCATCACTGATGGGGTCCTGGAACGTGACCTTGCGCCGAGTGCTAGGAACACGTCTTGGACTCCGTCTTTGCCGCCGCGACCGTCTTGCTCCTCTCACGAATGCGCACTGTGGTCTCCAGGTACCTGTCCACCTCATCAGGGTTCGTGAAGTCGTACGGCTTGGTCTGTTCTGCGGCTGGCTCCTCTTGGACTTCATATTTGGCCTGGGTGCCCCCAACTGATGGTTGTCCTCCATTGCCGCGGCGCCTCTTGCACCCTTGAGCCTTGTCTGCGAACTTGCGGAGGTTCTCGGCGGCCTCCTTGCGGGCCTGGGCGGCCCCCTTCGCCGCTTCCAAGGTCTTCTGCGCTGCCGCGGCCGCTTCCTTAGCTGCCTCGTACTCTTTCTTTTCTGCTTCACCCAGGAATGCCAGTTCTTCACTGCTGAGCTCTGGAGCAACTGCATCGTCAGGGACTGTCGCTGCTGAAGGTGGTTGTCCTCTGTTCGCCTTCTCACGACACAAATCCACTTGTTGCTGAGCTTCCTTCTCGGCGATTTTGTTGTCAGCCAGCTTTTCCAGGATGTCTTTTTGTTCCTCTGCGTTGCGTTGGAGTCGCCTGCGTAGCCTCTCTCCCGCCTTTGTGACCATGCGGAGCGCCTGGGCTGCCGTTTCCAACTCCTCGAAAGGCTTGGGTGCTGGTGGCGGTGCTGGCTCGGGAACTCGTAACTGAGGGCACGCTTGCTCCAACAAATCCATATGCTCCTTGTTGTTGCCGTCCTTGGCCGCTTTGTACTGATCTGCGAGGAGGGCGACCAAGGCCTGGGTCTGTGGATCTGGCGGGGCTGTCCCCGTCGAGATGCTTGACCACGTCGTTCCACACTTTGCGCACTTGGCCTTGTCAGCGATACGGTCACAATAGATCCAACTGCTGCCGACAGGAGAGCAAGTGCTACACACCACAAAAGGCCTCCTCTTCCCGCCCTGGTATTCTTTCTTCGAACGTGAGTGCGATCGAGCTCTGCTAGCCGCTCGACCTCCATCTTTCCAGGGCGGGCGCGTTCCTCCCATGTTTGTCTCGTAGCCGTCGTCGTTCTGCTGCGACTTCTGCCACACCTCGAAGGTGCGCCCCTCAAGCCGCGAGCGCGCCTCGCCACCTGCAGCAGGGCAGGCACGGCGGACGCGCGGTGCGCGCGCAACAGTGGGCCCGTTGGATCTGCTCCCCTGCAAACCTCTCGGGCCCAGATGCTTGAGGGCAAGGGAGGGGAGGGGGAGGGGGGGGGAGAGGGGAGGGGAGGGAGGGGCCCGGCCACCCGCGGGCAGCCCGCGGAGGCGGGGGGGGAGGGGGGGGGAGGAGAGGGCCCAGACATAATCGCGTCGTCAGAATCGGGGATGGACAGAACCCCCTTCAGTTGACTACCTCCCAGACCACCCCAACCCAACCCGAAGACCCGAATTTCGGGTTGGGGGGGGTAAGGGTTCCACATGTCACGAGCGCGAAAGATACCCGTACCCTTACCCAGACGGGGTGGCAAGGGGCCCTCGGGGCATCACCCCCCCTGGGTCCGGGTCGGCTCCCGAAACCACCATACATACCCGTACCTAGACGGGGTGACCCAACCACCACCCCAGCTAGGTCCAGGTATGTATGGTTGTTTCGGGCACCGACCCGTACCCAGACGAGGTGGCGGCAAGGCCGAAAACGCTCTAGCGGGCGGCCCTTTTCACCCCAGCTGACCCCGGGTCCGGGTATGTTTTGGGCTAGTGAACATGTGTTTTTTCGACGTTTCCCGACCCCCCCCCCCACTGGAAATCGAGGGTAAATCTGAGCCTTCGGGTTGGGTTGGGGTGTTTTGGTGGGTGGTGATCAGTAGAACGTGGTCTGGTGAAAACGGCCTCGGGCCTGAACCTGGCGGGCGCAAGCCTGGAACACGACGGCCGCGGCGCCCTCCCGGAAACCGGAAACGGACAATTCACGCACGACTCGACGCGTCTGGGTGGGGGCTCTGCCCACTCCCGAGAAAAGAATCACGGCGGAAGGGCTTTGGCCACTGTCGGCCTCGGCGGAGCCCTCGCCGGGCCTCCGGGCCGTCAAGAAAGGACTCGGGACTTTCAAAAAAAAACCCGGGGACAAGGGTCGGGACTTCCAGGAACCGCGTTTTGAAAAAAACAAAACGTGGCATGTCAGGGGAAGGAGGGAGGGAGAGGGAGAGGGGCAGGAGGCGGGGAGGAGAATGGGAGGGAGGAGGAGGAAATGGGAGGAGGAGGGAGAGGAGGTGAAGTATGGACAACATGACTACAGGAATAATTAGGGAAGAGGAGAAGGAGGTCAACGCAAATGTAGAAAATGATGACGATGCATGGAGGGGAAAAGGCTGGGAGGGAGGATGCGGAGCAACAGTAGGAGGAAAAGGAGGAGGGAGGGGGAGGACGACGACGAGAGGAAGATGAGGAGGAGGAAGTGCAGCAGCAGGATGAGGAGGAGCAGGAGGAGGAGGAGGAGAAGGAGGAGGAGGAGGGAAGGAGAAAGAAACGGGGATGCGGCTGGGTGGAACAGTGGAACGGGGAAGGGGAGGGGCAAGGAATGATAATTGGGAACGGGAAAGGATGAGGAGGTAGGAGATGAGAGGAGGGGGGTGATGAGGAGGGGGGAGGAAGGAGGAACAAAAACAGGAGGGAACAGGGAACAGGAGGAGGTGGAGGAAGGGGGGAACAGGGGAAAAGGATATTTTGAGGGGGAAAAGGGATGGGAGAATCCCGCCAGCCCTTTACAATAGAGTGCGAGTGGTTTGCGCTTCTTCGTCCAACCCCCTTTCCTCCCCTTCGGGAAAAAAAAGTTTACCCTCCCCCCAACCTCTCCCCCTGGACCAGGAGGGGAGGGGCGGCGAGGTGTGAGAGGATGGTTTGAAGCTTAAAATGGCTCCAGGAAAGCCTCCGAGAGCCCAAGAACCCTCCAAGATGGCCCCAGATAGCGCGAGATAGATGACTGCTGACATGCCCCAGGAGACCCCAAAACAAGTCCAAGACTGGTCCAAATGGCCTGGTGGCCTCACAAGGTGGCCCCCCATTAGGCCAACCATCCTCCAAACACCAATCGGAAATCCGCCGACCCTGTCGGCGTGTGTGAGGGGCTTCTCCGTTCGACTCGTCGTCTCCGTCGTCTCCGTTCTCCCCCTCCCAGGGCTCTCCTCCTCAAGCGCGCTATCCAAAGCGAAATGAAACGACGTCGTAGTGGAGTCGAAGGGAAAGCCGCTGCCCTTTGATCCCTTCCCCGCAGGGGGGGGAGGAGGGGGGGGGGGCCCGGGGCAGATACGACGCCCGCCGGGGCGCACTTTCCTCGAGCGGGCACGCACGGGATGCACTTCCTCCTCCTCCTCCTCCTCCTCCTCCTCCTCCTCCTCCGCTCCTCTCCTCCTCCTCCTCCTCCTCCTCCTCCTCCTCCTCCTCCTCCTCCCGCAGAGGCGTCCCGGGAGCGGGCCCCGAGTCAAAATACCACCCCCCTAGGGCGCATTTTCCTCGAGCGGGCACGCCCGAGATGCACTTCTTCCTCTTCCGGGAGCACGTCCCAAGTCAGAATATCACACTCCCGGGGCGCACTTTCTTCGAGCGGGCACACAAAGGATGCACTTCCTCCTCCTCCTCCTCTTCCTCCTCCTCCTCCTCCTCCTCCTCCTCCTCCTCCTCCTCCTTCCTCCTCGTCCTCGTCTCGTCCTCGTCCTCGTCCTCCTCGTCCTCCTCGTCCTCCTCGTCCTCCCTCCTCCTCCTCCTCCTCCTCCTCCTCCTCCTCCCTCCTCCCTCTCTCCTCCTCCTCCCTCCTCCCACTCCTCCTCCTCCTCCTCCTCCTCCTCCTCCTCCTCCTCCTCCTCCTCCTCCTCCTCCTCCTCCTCCTCCTCCTCCTCCTCCCCCCCCTCCTCCTCCTCCCTCCTCCTCCTCCTCCTCCTCCTCCTCCTCTCAAGCCATTATGGTGCGAGGTCTCCTTTGGGGCGAGGCGGCCTCCATCAGTCACCACACGCGCGTACCGCGCACGGGCCGGCGCCAGGCGCCCGCTACGTGCGTCCGCGGCTTGAGGGGCGCCTGCGGGCGGCAGAAGTCGCGAGGTGCCGCGAGTTCACGTGTATGGGCAAGACGGGAAGCCAGAGGCGTGCTTCACGCTCAGCTTCCAGGCATGGCGGCAAGAAGCGCAACGAGTACTACGTCTGCGTGCATTGCCCTCGTTCTTGGGTGTACAAGTCTCGTGCTGGCCAACCTGGTTGGGAAGGGTGTCAGTCCTGCGGTGTCCCTTGGCCTGCCGTTCGCAACGGGACAGCTGCAGGTCGCACCGTCACCTTCAGCATGGACGACCCCCCGCTGGTGCAGCAGCTCATGCCCAAGTACAAGGCGGCGCGCGAGGCCAAGGACGCCGCCGCCCTCCAGGCGCTGGAGCTGGTCTGTCCCAAGCTGGCCAAGATCGCAGAGCCCATGCCCGCGCATGCGATCCTCCTGGAGCAGGCTGCGCGGCAGCTGCGACAGCTCCATGGCCAGCAGAAGCAGCTCAAGGAGCAGATCGTGGCCAACGCCAAGACGGGCAAGGAGCTCCTCCGTAGGCCCAGCGAGAACATCAAGGCCTGCAGCGAGGCGCAAGAGGAGGTGGATCGCTACTCAGCGCAGACGGGGGCTCCAGCGGCCAGCTCAGGGAACGGCGGCCCTGCAGACGACACCGAGACCCCCACCCTCGCGAACGAGGACCTCCAGCTCCTCACGCCCGAGCAGCAACAGTACTACAAGGACGCGGCCGCGGCGGCGCAGCAGGCCCAGGCCACCCTCCAGTCCGCCACCGACGCGGGCAAGCAAGCGAGGGAGGCGGCCGCCACGCTCCGCAACCTCCGCGAACAGGTCGCCACGACCAAGCGGCGCAAGGCTGACGCGGCCTGCGGCGTGGTCCCAGGCGGCGGCGGCGCAGCCGCAGCTGGCGCCTCGGCCCCGCCGCCCGTGGACGCTGGCGGCCAGGACTTCAGCAACCCCGAGGCGGTCGATGCGCGCATCAAGACCACGGCATCGCACAGGACTGCCGCGGCGCGGGCCGCGGCCGCCAAGGCGCCTACGGCCGCGCCAGTGGCGCCCGCGACGGCAGCGGCACCAGCAGCGGCAGCAGGAGCGGCGATCCCAGGCAAGGGCGACGGCAAGGGCGTCAAGGACCAGACGAAGGGGTAACACGGCTGTCGGAGGACGAGCCGCTCGTAGGAGCGAGGGCCGCCAGGTGCGCAGGTCGGCCTCAGCCAGGACCCCTTTCGGCAAGAGGGACGTTGCATCGATCTTCTTCGGTAACGTCACCTCGTACCCCCTTAAGGTCAAGAGGTTCATCGAGACGTCCGGCCACGACATGATCGGCCTCGCGGAGCACCACCTCGGCAAGGGCAAGTGCGACCAGGAAGAACAACGCCTCCTCAGTTTTGGCTGGCGTTCGGAAGGGACATGGACGCCAGCAACTCCCTCTACTCGCTCTGTCTCGGGCACCCACGGCGGCACGTGTTGGCTGAGGAGAGCCACCTGCGCCACTAGCGTCCACCTGCAGGGCGCCAACCACCAGAGCGTGTTCCAGGACGCGCTCCAGGACGTCTCCGTGGTGCTCTGGCGCTTCCAGGGGGGCACGTTCGCCTTCATCGTGTGCTACCTGGACTGTTCTATCGGCCTCGTCGGGACCAACGCCAGGAAGATGACCACAATCGCTCGGGTTGCGAAGTCCCTGGGGATTCCTTGGTGCTCGGTGGGCGACTTCAGCGCCACTCCAGAAGAGCTGGCGCGCTCAGGCTGGCTTCTCACCCTGAAGCCGCGGATCCTGACTCCTGAGGGTGTGAACATCACGTGCACATCGGGCAAGGGTCGCATGCTGGACTACGTCGTCGTGCCCGACAGCTTCCGCCCCTGCCTCAAGAGGGTGAAACCCGTCCAGAAGCTGCCGCGGGGCCCGCACATCGGCCTCAACATCCTGGTCACTGCGAGGCCTGCCGCAGTGATGCTACGCGCCCCTGTGTTACCCGTACCTCTTGAAGTGCCTGCAGGGGAAGTTCACGCGCCCAAGGGGGTCAAGCGCTGTCAACGCGACAGGCAGCGGCACGCAGAGCTGCAGCAGGCCAAGGAGGAATGCGACCAGTTGCAGGAGGGCGACCTGCTCAACGACGACGAGGGGCACCTCCTCGAGGACACCTACACCCAGTGGCGGCCCCAGCAGTGCAACGACCACGTCTGCTCGCCCTGGACGGAGTGCGCCACCGAGGCCCAGGAGCGCGCAGGCACTCACATCCCAGCGGGCGAGGATGTGCAGGCCAGCATCGCGTGCCAGATGGACCCGTACATGGCGCAGGCGTTGGCGGTGCAGTACGGATACTGGGCTGAGGCGGCGGAGGCGCAACTGGCCGAGCTCTGCGGCACTGTGTCTCGTGACAGAGCCCGACGTGGTCAAGCCGTCAAGTATCAATGGCGCAAGGCACAAGAGCAGACGGCAGACTCGCAGTTCGGCCACGCCTGCGCGCAGGACATTGGTGGCAAGTGGGCCAGCCTCCACGCCAGGGTGCAGGAGCAGCTCATCGCGCTTGGGCGCCACCGCCACACCGAATACCAGCGCAAGGTGCAGGACATCGTCTCCGACATCATCAGCGGCACCAGGTACCTCCTCACCGCCCAGGGGCCCGTGCCTGACGGTCAGCTGCAGGCCACCAAGGGGAAGTGGCGGATACACCTGGATGACGACAGGGTCCTCGGCCTCGGCGAGCGCATCCGCTACTCCAGGAACTTCCCCGAGTGGCAGGCCTTGGCTGAAGGTGTAGTCGAGAGCGGCTAGGCATGCCAGCCTGGCGTGGCAGCAGACCCGCAGCGAGGTGCAAGCCTGGGCCAACGCAAGTACCCAGGGCTCCATGCGAGGCGCCCACCGCGATCTCAAGAAGGACGAAGTGCAGGCCCTAGACGAGACCTGCATCGACCCCGACACTGGCGAGGTCTGCGGCTCCGTGCAGGCCTCCACAGATGCCAGGGCACGCCGCTGGCGTGACCGTTGGACCAGCAAGCCCGACCGCGAGCCTGCCCTGGACGAGGCGCTGAGCGAGCTGCGGACCCTGGCTCGCGAGGCGCTGCCATAGCGGCGCTACCACACGAGAGACGACATAGTGAACGCCACCAGGACCTTCCCCAGGGCCGCGGGCAAGGGCGCTGATCAATGGACGCCAGGCCACCTCCTCGCGGTCTCCGACCAGGGGCAGGAGGCCTTCGCCATCCTGCTCAACATGGTGGAGCGCGCCTTGGCCTGGCCGCACCAGCTCCTCCACAACTGGTATGCCCTCCGGCCGAAGGGCGCCAAGCAGGTGGTCGGCAACGAGAGGGGCATCGGCATCCTCCCCTTGCCCGTGCGCATCTGGGGCCGCATGACCAAGGCCGCCTTGACGCACTGGTGTGACAAGCGAGCTGGACACTGGGGCGCTGCGGTGCGTGGGAGTTCCGCGCTGCAGGCTGCTTTGCTCACCATGGTGCTCGACGAGACTAGAGCGCGCGTCGGCGTGGCCGAGCAGAGCAACGTCCTGATGGACGTGGAAAAGTTCTACGATTACATCGACCTGGCCTCGATGATCCACAAGGGCATCTCCCTCGAGGCGCCGCCCGTCGAGCTGCACCTGTGCTGCCTCACGTACGTGGCGCCGCGAGCGGTCAAGTCACACGAGGCCTTCAGCCCGACCATCGCCCCCAACTGTTCGATCCTCCCTGGCTGCGGGAAGGCCAACCACTGGGCAGGGGCCTTCCTCTACCACCTGTTGGAAGCAGCCCATGCGAGAGCACCTGTGGCAAGGGTGCGGCAGTATGTGGACGACGTGCACAGCCGTATCGAGGGCACGGCCGACGAGGTCCTCGACCATCCCAAGGACGTCGCGGTCATCCTAGTACAAGGCTGCCTCGACCTAGGCCTGCGTGCCTCGCCCAAGTCCATCTTGATGATGGCGAGGCCCAAGGACGAGAACGCGGTGTTGACTTACGTGCATCAGGAGACTGGCATCTGCGTGCAGAGGGCGTCCACGGCGAAGGACCTCGGCATCGACTGCACCATGGGCTCCAGGCGCTGCAACAAGACGACCAGGACGCGGATGTCGGCAGCGAGGGCGAGGGCTACGCGAGCGAGTTTATTCCGCAGGTTGGGGCGCGGCAGCGAGGCAACAAGAGGACCAAGGGCGTCATGCTGCACAACGCCAACATCAGGGCGAAGTATCAGTTCGCCGACCCGATCATTGGAGCGCCTCCTTCGACGACAACGCGGCGACGGGCCCAGGCAGCGGACCTCGCAGGCCGCACTGTGGGCGGGCGCTGCACCTCCACCACCCTCCTGCTGCGCTACCAGGACGACGAGCCCAAGATGGCGGCCTTGGCGCAGCAGGTGAAGGAATGGTTCCACTTCTGGGCGCGCCACTCGGAGCTGCGAGACCGTGTTCGACTTGGATGGCGAGCGGTGCTCAAGAGACTCCTATAATTGCGACCTCGTGCTCGGTGGAAGTGCGTCACGGGGGCCATGGGCGCGACCACGCTGGCCCTGCGTGACATCGGCTGGATACCGCGGGCGCCCGACGTCTGGATCGACGACGAGGGCTCCGAGTGGCGGCACCTCGGCAACGATGGCGACAGCGCGCAGGACCTAGTGAAGGCGATCAAGAGCACTGTGACGCGCCAGCTGTGGCGCCAGGCTGGGGACCACCCCCTTGGAGTGGGCCTCGGCGACGGCGGCGACCTCCACATGCTGAGAGTCAACCTGAGGAGGATGCGCCGCCAGGGGCGCCACAAAGAAGCAGGCGCTCTGGAGGCGGGAGCGCTGGCTGGAATCTGGACGGGAGCAAGGGCGCTAGCGGCGGGCTGCCAGTGCTCCGACGACTGCGAGCGCTGTGGCGAGGGCAAGGACACCATCGAGCACAGGCTGCACTTCTGCTCGGCCACCTGCGAGATGGGGGGCCCTTGGATCGAGCGCGCCGAGGGCCTCCGTCAGCATGCGATAAAAGACCTGTTGGAGAATCGCCACGTTGCTTACTGGACCAGGGCCCCCCCCCCCCCCCCGAATGGGTAGCCGTGCCGCCGCCGCCCGCCTGGAACTCAGGAAAGGGGTTGGGCGTCTGGGCAGTCGGCACCTCCCCTCCGATCCTCGACTCTTCCTCGAGCGACGTCCTCCCCTCCTCCTCTCCCGCCCTCACGAATGTAAGATCATTCAACGTAGGAGCAGGTGAATACCCCGTCCGTGCACGCCTGGCGCTCCTGGACGGGTCGGCCACTTCCAACGATGCCCGCGTTTGTCGTGTGGGCTGGGGTGTTTACTTCGCGGGGAAGTGGGCGGAGCTGGAAGCGGACGACGGCGAGCTTTCTGTTTTTTTTCCGGGGCCGTCGACGGGGACCAGACGGTCCCCGTCGCTGAGCTGGCTGCCCTCTGGAGGGCGCTGCAGCTTTCCACGGTGCCCCTGGACATGTTCACCGATTGCCAGCTGGTCTTTAACGGCTGGGTCCAAGGGAATGCCCAGTATCCCAAGGGAAGCAACGCCAAATGGTGGGCCCGAATTCGGTCGGCCCGCGAGCGGCGGGGGGGGCCAGAATGTCAGCCCGTTCAAACTCTTCTCGCACCTGGATGTTGATTCCCACGTGCGCTCTGGCCAGGGCCCGCGATGCTCCCGTGGGAACGAGCTCGCGGATGCTCTGGCCCAGCGAGGGGCGGGGTCTGCTGCCGCCCCAATTCGGACCCACGTCAAGGCCCTACAGGTGGCCGGCGCTCGAGCGACCCTCGTGCAACAGCGCGTCGGGGCGGTCTTGGCCCCGATCTGTGCGGAGGTTGAGCGCGGGGCTCGCTCGGATCGGCTCGGCGGGGCGGACGGCTCGGTCGGCTCCGCTTCGGGCCTGGGACGGATTGGGGAGCTCGAGGCCCGTTCGGGGCATGCCCTGTCCCGCCTGAGCTCTGGTGGGTGGGCCTGCAGCAAATGCCGACAAACACCAGGGCGCCTCTCGCTGGCCGACTGGCCCCAGAGTTGCGCGTGTCGCGGGGACTATTGCCAGAGGGGCTTGAGCGAGCAAGGCCACCACGTCTATGTCCCCCCCACCTGTATCAGAGAGTTGAAGGTCGGCGCCCGCAGTGTGCACCCCTCTCATTCTATAGCCATGCAGGATGGACTGGCCTGGTGCTGGAGGCGTGCCAGGTACGCCCCCATTGTCGCTGGGGGGGGAGGTGGGGGGGGGGGCGGCTCTGTAAGTTGGCCCGCGAGTGCCCCCAGGAGCGCGCCCCCTCTGGCCAAACTATGATCAATCGTCTCCGTCGTGGCCTCACCCCGAAAGCGGGGATGCAGTGGCCCATGCCCCCAGTGGGGGGTGGCGGATCTGATCCCTTGCCAGTGGTCGGCAGCTCGGCCAAGAATTTCGGGAGGCGGACTGACGGGAGAGTCGGCAGCTCGCTCAAAGCCCCCCCCCGTCGACGAAGATCATAAACCCTTTACAGATTATCCGTAATCTGCACGTGGGGGGACGTGGCACTGCTCCGACCCCCTCTTGTTCGAGCTTTCCCGAGCTTTCCTCCTCCTCCTCCTCCGCTTCCTCCCCCCACTCCTAGCCCTTCGGGGTCGGCGGCGCCGGCCGTCAGGCCTCTCCAATCAATGAGCTTCGGCTTCTCGCAGTTTCCTTTCTGATGGGACCCCGAAGCCTCAAGACGGCTCCAAGAGGGCCCCCAAACAAGCCAAATATGGCCCCTTGACGGCCCCGAGGCCGCCCAAGCGCCCCTAGAGGCGACTCTGGGAGCCCAAGAAGAGTTTGTGCTGTCTTGCGCTGTACCACTCCGTGGCGGCTCGAACCGTCGTCAGCATGGGGCCTGTGTGCTGGATTGACCATCATCTGTTGAGGAATGCCCAGGGTATCCCTGTAGCGCCTGCTTCCCTCATTATTTCAGGGGCAATAGCAGGTTGCCCCGCAGGTGCAGATGGCGGTTGAGCGGGTGTCCCAGCAAGAACCAGAGCCGCAGCTGGTGCTGTGGATGAGCTTGCACTCCCAGATGACTTCTTCTCTTCGCGGATATCGAGGAATTGGCATCCGGCAGTCTTCGGAGCGGTCCCCGACGCCTTGGACGCAGTCTGGGGCGCCGTCTCATCTTCGTCTGGCTGCGAGGAACGTGCTCTGGATGCACCTTCCAATGATGGCGCCCAGCCAGCTCCCCTATGGAGTCTGCCAGGTGTTGGGCCGCGAAGGGATGCGAGCTCCTTCAGCGCGGGCGCGCTGTCACCCTGGAACGCCGATGCTGCAGCAGCCACTGCTGGCCCCCTGGAGTACGATCTGCGGGCAGGTGCCCCCGCAGCTCTTTGTGATTTATTACTTCCAGGGTCGGCCTCTGCTGAGCCAGTTCTCTCCTTCTGGTTGGGTGGCGCTGGCAGATCGAGATGGTGATCGAGACAGATCGACGTCTTTCTCGCCGAGCTTCTTTATCGGGGGCTGCAGAACCTGGACCGGTTTATCAGCGGGTGCACCCGCGTTGGAGGATGCGGCAAGTCCCCCCGCATCGTGGGATGATGTCCTGTCTCGCGGAATCTGGTATTTTGGCCTGAAGAGCGCCGTGTCCTTGATCTTGGGTCCGCTTTTTACAATCCAGATCATATCGTCCATTATCCAATGTGTTGCTTACAACGCTGGATCTCCAGCCAACCCCTGTGCAACTGCATGAAACTGTCGTACCTGGTGGAAGGTCCATGTCCTCTGTTATATTGGCAGCGGCGTCGATTTCTGCATCCGTTGGATCGCTGCTTTCAGTCTCGTAGGTACACTCCGAATCACGAGCAGCAGCAGTAGGGTCAACAGGCTGAGCGCGGACAATCCTGCCACCCTCGTTGTCGACCTTCGGATTACCAGCACCTTCGCGAGAGGAAGAAGCGGGTTGCCCCGCAGATGACGCCGCGGGCATCATCTCATGAGATCCTCGATTGAATCGCTCGAGGCGGTGATCCTCATCGAGGTTCTTCTACTGTTGCTCAACGCGCTTTACTTCATTTTCAGCGATTGCAGACCGGATTGCAGGCAAGAAGATTACAAGTCGGATCTACCCTGCGCCCCAGGCCGTCTCCATGGGACCAAACCCGCGGAATCTTCTCAAAGATAGGGCTCCTTGAAGGGCGCCCCATCGGACCTTTTTGCGCCCCTTTTCTCAAGCGCGGGGGGCGACTTGGCGCGGGCGATTTTGCCGCGACCCCCCCGCGTCATCTGGTGGAGTGAATGCCAGTGGCGGATGTCGTGCTCGGTGAAGCCTCAGTTGAGCCAGTGCCGCATGTCTGCTGCTGAAGCATATTGGCGGGCGAGCCCATGACCCCCGTTGCTGACGAGCCGACGCAGTCGCAGGCCTTCGGGCTTACCTGGGCGATCGCCGTCCTGAGGCGCGTTTCCCCGCGAGCGTTCCCTTCTGGGTGGGGTTCTTGGAATCCTCTGATCAGGCGTTCGTGGGCGCTGTGCGCCGCGGAACGGGCGCGCGCGCGCGTGTCTGCGCGAGCGGCTCCGCCCACGACGTCGTGGATGATGGCTCTCATTTTCCCATTCTGCGTCGTCGTCATCGGTGCGATATACTCGCCTCCAAACTGGGCGGCATGTGGACCGGTCGTGCATTGCGAACGTGGAGTGAGAGCCTTCGTCGCGTCCGAATACAAATGGGACGCGCTCGGAGAGGTCGCCAGCGTCGCGCAGGCTGCCCCGCAGAGGATCGTCGTCGTAAGGTCCCCCGTGCGTGGGGTTACCAATGGCCCGCGGCAGGAGCATCAGTTGGAGCTCCTCCTCAGCGGCCAGCACCGTCGCATCAGAGTCCGCAAGTGCCCCCGCCATTTCGTGATCCGAATCGGCAGGCATGCGGCAGTCTTCGACGAACTTGATCTGCGCAGGTTGCCCCGCGATAGGAATGCCCAACCAGTCCGCCAGGTTGATATCGCCATGGCCAACGTAGATCTCCTCGGAGAGCTCATCGGCACATCTCTCGAGGGATGCGCCGGCCCCCAGATGCCTCGCGGCCGCGAGGTGGACAGCGGCAGTGGGGTCGTCATCGGGTTCGGCGAGAAGCGTCTCCCAGTTGACATACTGAGTGTCGGAATCGGTTTGAGCCGAATGCATTGACGGACCTCTGCCTCCCCCATCGCCTCGGGGGCAATTACGACGACGATGTTGCGTGCTATGGCATATATCACATTCCATGGTTTCCCACTGGCGTCTTTCGGGCTACCCGGGCGCCCCTTGCCCTTTCCTGAGGTGCGCCCGCGGCCTCTGCCCTTCCCCAGGAACATGTTTTCGCACTGTGGTCCCGTAAGGGATGCCAGGAGTGTCAACATGCCTCTGCCATGTAATCTCCGTCGTTTGCCTTTACCTTTGCCCCTGCCCTTGCCCTTCGACCTACGCGCCCGTCGGGCCGCGCGTCGCACCTTGCGAACTGGTTTCTTCATAGAGCGCCTCCATCGGCGTTTGTGTTTCTGGTGTCCTAGGAATGGCCACTGCGCCTGCTGCTCTTCGGTGAGATACACAGGCATGTCGGGGTAGTCCAAAGCACCAGTCCCTTCATCTGATGAGGTGTCGGCGTCGGTACCAGAGTCAAATTCAGACGCGGCGGTTTGCCCCGCAGAGCCTTCACGGGTAGTGGCTTGAGCAGGGGCCGCCATTGCCGACGGCCCCTGGTAGCGAGCCCAGGAGTCTTGCGACCCCGATGGCTGGCCACCTTGTTGGCTTGGCAGGGCGGTGGCGTCGGTTAGTTGTGGATCGTCGGCCCAGACTTTGCTTGCAGGCTGCCATGCGTTAGTGTCGGTATGAAAGGCGTCGTGCGATGACCGCGGCTGAATATACCACCAATATTGCCCGGGGCTCGCTCAGCAACGTGGGCATAGGACCTCGCGTGCCCTGGTAGAGAATCAAGCTGTTGCTGTGATATTGGCATTTCGTGGTTTAGTGGTTGCAGTAGTTGCAGTGCACGCGATGTGCCAACACCCAGACCTCTGAACAGGATAACTGTTAGGATTCGGAAGTTGGGGATGTTGAAGCCTGCGGTCTCGGCCACAAAGCGTGCTATCTCAAAGCGAGCTAACGTCTCGTCGATCCGCTCTCCCGCCTGGACGCGAAAGTCGATGAGAACCGCTCCCGGATTAAGTTGGCGTTCCTCCTCTAGATGTTCAAACTTCGTGCTGCGGAGGAACATGATGTAGGTGGCGCCGTCAGCGACCGCCGATATTTACGCCAAGGTTAATGATTGCGGAAGGTACTCTCATGGTTATGGTCTTCACGAGCCCGCCCAGACCATGCTGCAACTAATACCGCGGCCTGTTGAGGAGGGGGTCACGTTGCCTGTAGCAACGTTGATCCAAGCGTGTACCTCGCGAGCGAATTCGCGGAAAGGTTGCTGGCAGGGCCCCGCTGGGGGCCGGTGGTGCGCGCGTCGTCTCCGCCGCGCTGCACGTGCCCAGCGACGCATCCGATTGCGACCCATAGGAGGCCAAATCTGGTAATACCAACCCAATGGCCCCTTACGTCGTGGTCGGATCGGATGTTTGCGCCTGCGGGTTATGATGTGATGTCGTCGTTCGCCTGCGTGGGGATAGAGGCGGTGCAGTATCGTCTCGCATGTTACCATGCGTCGTTTCTTCAAAAGACTTTCACATTGGAGTAGGAGGGTGGGCTTCAGGAGCGTAGTAGCGCAGAGAGGTAGGACTCATGTAAGAGGCCTCCGCGCGAACGGAGGTAGCACTGCAAGTGTCCTTGCGGTCGTGCGTGGATATGTACATTCCTCCGCGCAGACCCACTGCACCCCGATATTCCACCATGTCAGTAGTCCACCAGATAGTGCCGTGGATGGGGAGGAGTAGAGCCAGAGCTGACCACCGTAGGCCAGCTCCGCAACCAAGTTTGAGGGGGGCGTGGGAGGCCCAACCATACGCTTCGCCTGAGGCGAAGCCCATATCCAACTCTGTTGTACCGTAGTAACGATAGTCCCAGAAGTAGGAGATCGTCGCGGGAGCGACGAGCCATGTCAAGCGAATCTGTTTCGGTCTCAATGGCAAGTAGTGTGCCTCGCGATGACGCGCAGTCACATCTTGGCGGCCGGCCGCTTGAGCAGAAACGGCCGCGGACAAACGCTCGCTCCTTTTGTCAAGATGCTTCCAGAGGCCCCATGATGGCTGGCCCCTAGATGGCTCCAAGTGGTCGCGGGCTCCCAGGGGGGCCCCCGAGAGGCCAACATCCGTCCAAAGCCTAAGGAAATCAATAACTGTGGCCTTCTCGCCCTTTCGCTTCCGATGGGCTCCCGAAGCCAAGAGAAACTCAAGACAGGCCCAATATGGCCCAAAGCGGGACCCAAGAGCGCCCAAGAAAGCTCCAAGAGCGCTACGAGAGGGCCCCAATAGGCGCCGTTTGGAGCTCCAGAGGGGCGAGGCTAATGAAGGACCCCCTTCTTTGATCGATATCCTCCGAGATGTTCCCAAGAAGGCCTTCAAGGCCCCCAAGAGGGCCCAAAAATGGCCCCGAGATGGCCCCAACGGGAGCCCATCTGGTCCCAAGAGGCCCCCAGGAGGCTCCCAAGCGGCCCCCAAAGAGGCCCCGAGAGGCCCCCAGAAGCACCCCAAGATGCCCGACATCCGCCTGTTCCTCCTCCTCCTCCTCCTCCTCCTCCTCCTCCTCCTCCTCCTCCTCCTCTCTCCTCCTTCTCCCCTTCCCGCTCCTCCGAGTCATCTGGAGTCCTTCCCCTCGTGGGGTATGATGGTTTCCCCGGCCCTTTAGTCCACTGCATGCTCCTCCACATCCCCGATCAGCGCAACCCGCCTGGGCATCGATTGTGGATGGGCTGGTGAGGTTACGCGAAGCGATTCGAGTATTGGAACAAAGGGAGCGGGAGAGAAGGATGACCGTGGAGGGAGGGAGCGGTGGAGCTGGGGAGGCCGAAGATCGCCGACCCCGTAAATTTGGGCTGCCCCGAAAGCCGCTGATCGAGAGGCACATGGGCGCCGACTCCTCGGTGGCAAGGGGGAAGGCCCGTGCCCCTCCCCCCTGCTTTTGACGTTCGTCGGCAACCGTGAGCGACGAGGCGGTCCCGTTCTTGCCCTCCTCCTCCTGCCCCTCCTCCCACTCCCCCTCCTCCTCCCTCTCCTCGCCATGCTCCACCTGGGCCACTTGTCCCTCCTCTCCATCACCGGCAGCAGCAGCAGCCCTCTCCTATCCTCACCCTCCCCTCCCCCTTCCCCCCCAAGAGGGGGATGACGATGACGAGTATACCGTAAGCCAAGAGCAGGAAGAGGGAACAAGCGGGACGAAGACAACGAGCGGCAGGAGGAGAAGGAGCAAGCGCGAGGAAGAGCACGCCGTGTCGAGCCAGGCTTATGTCGGGCGTGTCCCCCTACAGGGGGATGTTCGACGAAAAATGCAAAATACCCGAAAAATGCCCCAAGAAGGTTCAAACATATTCACAACATAGTCCCCAGACTATGTTTGGACTATTTTTTGATTATGTTTGGGGGATGGTTTACTTCTCGTCGAAAAATCCCCCTGTAGGGGGACAGGCCCGACTTAAAGCCAGGCGGAAGAGTTGGAGGGCACGAGGGCCCCACGCGAGCTCCTCCTCGGCGGCAGGGGCGAAGGCCCCGTGCCCCAGCATCTCCAGCAGGCTGGCCTCCGAGAACCACGGGCCCTCGGAGCTGTTGGCGTGCCGGCAGCCACACCTCTGCCCTCCTCCCGCGGCAGACGAAGAAGACAAATAGTAATACTAAGACGACGATACCTTAGAACAATACGAATAATAATAGTAATAGTAATAAGAACAATAATAATGATAATAATAATACTAATAATAGCAATACTAGTAATAACCATACGAATAGTAATAGTAATAGTAATGATCATATACTAATAATAAGATATTACTACTATTATTAATAATAATCATAAGCAGAAGCGACGAACGTGTGAGGAGGGAGAAGAGTCGGATGCTGCTAGACGTGCCCCTGGCCCAAGGTGCCCCCAGCATGTTCGAGGAGGCCCCCACGACCTCCAGAGCAGCCTTCACGGGGCCCGGAGGGCCCCAGGGGCTCCGAATCTGAGCGATAAGCTGGAGGCACCTTGGGCCAGGGGTACCTTTAGCAACGCTCGAAAGAAAGAGAGACGAAAAAGGGAGGAGGAACGACATACGGGGGGGGAGCGGGAGGAGAAGACGAAGTGCGGAGGCGGCGGAGGAGGAAGAAGTGAAGCAGGAGGAGGAGAAGAAGAGAAGAGACGGGAGGGAGGACGAGGCGAATACTGGAGGCGAACTAGAAAGAATCATTGGGGGAGAGAGAACGAGAAGCAGAAGGAGAAAGATAATAATAATAATAATAATAATAATAATAATAAGAAGAAGAAGAAGAAGAAGAAGAAGAAGAAGAAGAAGAAGAAGAATAGGGAGACAGAGGGCGACGACGAACACGAGGAGGTGGACGACAAGATGGGGAGGAAGAGCGCCTGTCCCCCTCCGAGCGCACGCCCCGCGACCCGAATGCCCACAGCAGCCTCCGCGCCGCCACCTCGGCCTCGACGCCCAGCGCCGCGGCGGCCGCTTCGAAGTCGGCGCTGCCCATCGACGTCGGCCTGGTGTCGCCGGCGTAGCGGGCGGCGGCGAGCGGGCCTCGAGGAGGGCGGCGCGCGGGCGGCGAGGGGGGAGGAGGAAAGAAGAGTAGCACGAAAAAGAGGAGAGATGGAGGAGAGAGGGAGAAGCAGGAGGATGAGGAGGAGGAGGAGGAGACACTCAGACAGGAGGGCGAAAGATGCGTTCAACTGCAATGGCCAGCCATATTGTCACTACGTACCTCCACCACCTGAAGGAAGAGAACGAAACAGGCTTTGTCCAATTAGTCGACCTGAAGGCGGCTCTCCGCAGGGTAATCAGGCAGATGACCATACCAACTGAAGGCTATGATCGGCAACAGCTAGACGTCGAGTACACCTTGGAGAGCAGTGGTATTCCATCAGCGCTACTCCCACTAACCAAGATTGCCCTAAAGGCAACAGTGGCAATGCAGTACCTCAAGGAGAAGCCGCACCTAGCACAGCAGCTCATTGAGACACATCGGCTGACGCACTTCGGGATGGTGAATACCAACGACGTGGCTGTACCAAGAAGGAGTACAAGGCCAGGCAACAGCCTAGCGGACGTACTCTTCAATCTCACGTTCACGCGCCCACTCGACCTGGCAGCCGAACATCTAAAGAAAGGACAGCTATGCTTCAGCATACCCGACTCGTCCGATGACAGCCCAAGACTTGCGGCACATCGAGTACCTCAAAGAGTGGTCACAGATGTATATTGCGTGGACGATGCACTATTTTTTGGCCGAAGTGAGGAACAATAACATAAAGAGATCAATGGCTTAAGCAATGGATCTTGTACATACGGCTATGAGCGTATATGTATTCGAGATCAACTGCAAGCGGACCAAGACTGCCATAGTGCCAGCCATGCACGGTGCAGGATCCAAGAGAGCAAAACAGCAGATAGTTTCGACAGAGACGCCAACAATAACGACGCGCAAGTGCCAGAAGACAGCACACTTCGAGACTGCGTACAAGCACCTCGGCACGATCATCGACTGCGAAAACACGGCTGCCACTCAGATCGCCAAGAACATCCGCAAGCAAAAGGATGCCATGACACCAATCAGGCAGAGCATCTGCAAGCTAACATCAGCTCACTCCTGAAACCAAAATCAAGATCGCAGATACCCACGCCAATGTGCATCTGGCGTGCCACGCGGAGACCTGGACAACATTAAGTGGGAAGCAAGCCAACATGCTGGAAGCAACATACCAAAAGACCATTCGATCAGCAATGCGGCTACATTTACCAGGGGAAGATGGGCATCGGCGCACTACGGACTGGATCATGTACCAGGCAAAAAGACCACCAATCTTGGCAGCACTACGGTTACGACGGCTACGGTACATTACATTGGTTCGTGAAGCTGGCCCTACTATACTCCTTGAGTTGCTGGACAAGATATGGCGAACATCGAGGTCGAGGAATGGATGGGCTGCACAACTACCTGCGGATTTCGCGTGGGTTTGCCGACACATGACACAACACAACGACGATGCATTGCCATCCTACTACGCAAGAATGGACAAACAGCATTAACTGAGACCCGCCAGCATTCCGACGGCTACTCAAACAAGCATGTGACAGATACAGAGCACATCAGCGAGACCAACATCATTTGACAGACTGGCGCCTTGTATTCCATGCAATTCTCGAAGGACCCCAAGCTGGGATACCACCACCTGAACCAGCACCGGCACAGGTACACTGCTACTACTGTGGGAGGTCATATCAAACTGCGTCGATACTCCATTCTAATGTAAACACGGACCACGGTCCCATTGACGAAGCGCAGCGACTAGCAACAGGGACATACTGCAGTGTGTGAAGACCGAGTTCCACACGAGGCCAAGGCTGGTTGCACACCTGCGGTATCGCTCACCTGAATGCCTGAAATCGCTTCAAGAGACACAAGCTGGCTTAACAGACCCAGGGGCACGCGATCTCATGGAGCTCGACAGGTCACACATAACAGAGCTCAACACGCGAGGATATCACGCGACCAAAGCGATCCGACCAGCTCGACACGACGCTCCGCGAAGGAAGCCATGTCCAGGGAGACGACGCTTTTGTGGGCAGTGGACAACAGCGAGGTAAGACATCGGGCCAGAGCGACACATACAAACACACACACACACACACACATACACATCTGGAGAGACCATACCCGCCAGCAGCCTCATTGGCAGCTATCGGTACGACCATCCAGACGAAGAAGAAGGAGAAGCCGATGGCAAACCAGCATCAGTATGGTCAGCACCAGTGCACTTACCAACGCGCAAGTACATACTTCACCTATTTGCAGGACACAGACGGCACGGTGACTTCCAATATTGGATAGGGAAAGACTCGGACTTACCAGGCATCGTACTATCAGTGGATGTGGTGCAATCAACAGACGCAGCCGACCTCGCCAATTGGAAGCATATAGACATTTTCGCAATCTGATCAAGCAGGGGAATGTTCTAGGGGTACTGGCAAGCCCTCCATGTACAACAACATGGTGTGGTGCCATACACCCCGACACAGATGGGAAGTACACAGCGCTACCGCCAGCACGTACATCAGAGTTTCCTCGGGGCACACCTGGCATGGAGATAAGATATCGGACGCAAGTGAATATGGGGAACATGTTGTTGCGAACAGCTTTGTACCTGGCAGCCGTTTGTGCAGTATCGAACGTACCCATGCTCATGGAGCACCCAGCACGGAACTGCCGAACCAAGGCCGCATCATGCTGAGCACTCTTCAGAGACACGACAGCTCATGTGGTGAAGCAACGTAACGCCAATTACATTCGATCAGTGTGGATTCGGACACTCCACCAAGAAGCCGAACACGATCCTCCAGATATGATGTGCAACCTTCACATCGAATACTGACCGACGAGAAGATCACGGGCACTGCCAGCATGACCACATGCAAGAGATCGCCACAGGACGACGCCAGAGTGGTACATGCAGAACGGCGAAGGCTAAAGAGCATCCTGTGGCGCTAACACGACAACTGGCAGATGCGATCAGCAGCACTTGGGTCAACCGACCACACGGAGGCTGCACAACATACGAGGACATGGACCCCGAGCTTGCCCAGCTGTACGCGCCACTTGACGAGTGTCAAGAGCACGCACACGAACAAGGACCAGTTGGCCGGAGAGAGAGTCGGCTCACGAGCCAGTGGACTACGGCCATGGCGAAGCTGGACCACCAGGGCGGCGCCTGGCCGCGTAGGGCCGCTGTCGCCCTGGGTGGGAGCGGCGGGGGCCCCCAGGCCCCAGTGCCCCCCCAGGGCGCCTGGTGGCCCGCCCGAGGGAGCCGGCGGGGGCCTCCATGCCCCGATGCCCTCGGGCGGGCCGTCGTGCCGTCCTCCCCCTCCCTCGCCTCTGGACCACAGTGCAGGTTGGCGGGCGGTGGTGGACCTCATCTCTTCGTCCGTCGTGCGCGGGCCCCGTCGGCCGCGGCCGCGGGCGCGCGGGCGCGGTGGGCTCGACCCGACGCGCGTCGCGCAGCGGTGGTGCAGCAGGAGGAGGATACCATGCGGAGGAGGAGAGTAGGAGGAGGAGGAGGAGGAGGAGGAGGAGGGGGAGGAGGAGGAGAAGGAGGAAGAGAAGGATGAGAAAGGGAGCAGGAGGTGTTCTTCGTCGTGGTGGTCGCTGTCGTCCTCGTCATCGTCGCAGCTGTGGTCGTGGTGGTGGATTCACCAGGCTAGCCGCGCATCGCACCAGATAGCCAAAGCAGGGCGTGGCGGTGGTCGTCGTCATAGTCGTGGCGGCAGAATACCAAGTGGTGCCCGGCAGAATTTCTGTGAATCTTCTAAGGGCCCCACCCCTGTCATCATGCTCTAGGGCGTGCACCGCTTCCCCCCCCCGTTCCCGAGGCTCCCTCACCGCCCCGACGCCTCCCTGGCGTTCCCCAGGGCGTTCAAGATGCCCAAGCTGACTTGCAAGACGGCCCAGGCAGGCCACCAAGGCGGCCAAGATGGTCCAAGATGCCTCCATAATATCTCGAGATCGCCCCCATAGGGCCCAAGATGGCCTCCAGACGCCCACAAGGCCCCCAAGACGGCTCCAAGAGGCCCCCCTGCCAGGCCCGCAAAGTTCAAAATCATTGATTCCCCCATGGTTCTTGAACAGCTTTCGCGCACTTATCTTTTCGGATTTTTCTCAGCCCAGGATGGCCTAAGAGGCTTCCAAAATGGCTCCAAGAAGGCCCGGAGTCGGCCCAGGAGCCTCTCGAGACGGCCCAAGACGCCTATAACAAGGTCTCAAGGCAGCCCGAGGAGGCCCAAAGACTGCCCCAAGAGACCCCCAGGACGGCCGTTCAGGGCCCCAAAAGGGCCAAATAAACACCTCAGAGAAGCCCTCAAGAGGGACTCCGGCGGCGACAGACTGCCCAACAGCGCCCTAACACGGCCTATATAAGGAGTCTCCAAGAGGCCCCCGGGGCCCCCAAGAGGCATCTGGTGCCAACGACGAAGAACACGAGGAAAGACACTCGGACACGACGCGGAAAATCGTGGCACATGTTACGGCTCCCCCGAACCTCGTGACACAAGGTCTCACATGTTACGGCTTCTTGTGCGCTCGCTGGGCAGTGGCAATCCAGAGGTGGGCTGGCACGGTGGCGGACTTGTCGCGGGCAGTTAGATACTGGCAAGAGGTGGTGAAGGAAGCGGGGGAACACAAAAAGGGAGGGACAAATGATGGTGGTGAGATGAAAACGTACGAGGGAGGTGGCAGATGAAGTGGGGAAAAGCAGAGGGGGAGGAGGGATAATGGGGGAAGGAATGCGGCAGGAATCGTATCGGAAGACGGACGAGGGATGAGCAGGAACGGGAAGAGAGAGAGGAGGAGGGGGAGTAGGAGGACGAGGAAATGGAGAAGAGCGACGGGGAGGAAAAGGACAGAGAAACGGCAAAAGGAGGAACAAATAATCGGGCAAGTGATAATAGGAGGTGGCCCAAATGGGAGGAAAAGAAGAGAGCCCTAGAAGGAGCGTTTAGGCCCCCTTTTGGAGCCGATATGGGGCCCCAAAGCTGGAAATGCCCCTCTAGGGCCCGTTTTCCTCACCTTCCGTCGAGGCCCCCCTTCATTACCACCCGCACCGGAAAAAAGAGCTGCCGAATATGGTCCGGTACTCGATGCGAATCGCGCGGATCAGGGCCACGGCCCAATTGCCCAGCGCCGCTTTGTCGCCGCCGAGGGGCATGGCTGGAAGTGGCGAGCTGGCCTTCCGGACGCACGCGGGGAAGGAGGAGGAAGAGGAGAAATGACGAGAAGTTGGGTGAAGAGGGGGATAGAGGAGGAGGAAGAGGAGGAGGAGGAGGAGGAGGAGGCGGAAGACGATGAGGAGGACGAGGAGGAGGACAGGACAAGACAAGACAGGACAGGACATCCGCATAAAGGGGGCCAACGTCGACACCTACAAAGGAACTGTGAATACGACTCGCAAAATACCTTGCGATTCGAGCATGTCGCAGATCAATACTTCTCTTGGGGGCCGGCAGAAGAGCATACCCCGAAGCTTCACGGGACGAGCTCCGAGATGGCCCCGTAAGAGAGACTCGCTACCTTGCGAATGCGACTCCCTACGGGTCAGTGCGGGGGAACAGCTGTTGACCGTCTCGCGTGCCCATGACGACGGGAGCGCGCTGGGCGAGCAGGGCTCCCAAGCAGGGGGGAGAACGACGACGCGACCTCACTCGACGCAGGGGGGGGGTACACGAGGCCCTTTCGTGCCAAACTTTGCTGGGGGGCTTAAGTACATTCTGCCCACGACCCGCTGTGTTCACACTCCTGTCAGAGCCCCTCCCTCTTCAGGCTCACGTCTCTTCCTGGACAAGCTGGCCGTTGGTTGAACTATGCAATGTCGTGTCTGACTCATTCCTGTTCCGCAGCATTATGTATCCAAATTCTCAGTAGTAGCATGCCATGTGCACCTTGATCTACCCCCTCGGTTCGGCGTGCACGTAGGGGCGGCCATGCCTATTATCGTCGCGGCGTGTGAAAGTTTTGTTGTCCCTCTCAAAAAAAAAAAAAAAAAACACTCTGTCAGCTATCCGTACCTGTCGTTCCGAAAAAGGAGGGGCCCTCAGGGATGTACTCCAGCGGCCTTTGCGTGGTCTCGTTTTCCACTCGTCGCCCCCTGTGGTAGCGCACCTGTCGGCATTCCAGAACATATTTCCAAGACACCATTCTGTGCGAGCTCTCTCCCAAGGGTCCCCACGCCGAGATGCCCCCGCTAGTGATGGCCCCTCTGTGCCCATCCTGCCTGCTTGCAGTCACGCTCCGAAATATCCCAACCAATCAACAGGCCAACCAACGGCCGTGCCATCCTGACAACCAACTGGCCAGCCAGCGAAGCAACTGGCCAACTACCCAGCCAGCCAGCCAACCAGCCAACATGACAATCCATCCGCAAGCCAGCCAGCCAACCAGCGAGCAAACCAATCAGCCAGCCAGCCAAACAAGGCCACGGGGCCACGGTAGAAGGCGACCCCCCAAAGAACAGGTCAACTAATTCGCGATCGCATGCCGTTCACAAGTGCAGTGCGAATGGAACCACTGAAACTCGACGATCCCGCGAGTGAATCCAGCTGGACGGCGAACTATTCGCTGGGATGGCTCGCGCATGAAGGCCACCAGCTAAATCGCTCCATATGCTCGCGTAAGAACGCCATCGCAGAGATTCGAAGTGTTTCTTATCTTCACACCGCCACGCAGGATGCGCGTGATCCTGAAGGTCACCAGACCACACGGCGGATGGATTTCAAGGTGCAAGTGTCCATATGGATTTCACCCTGGGCCCTCCACCCAAAGAAAAGAAAACGAGTACCCCCTTCTTGACAAGCTGGACATGGATGCGACGGATCACCATGAAGCCATCCCCTTTTTCGAACCTCACTCCACAACAATGCTTACCAACATCACCCCAAACCTGTCCTGAAACCGCCTCCTGAACACACACACACACACACACACACACGTCCAAGTGGAACAAAACGTCAGAGGCTTCGACGTCCAGGATCCGACTAAGGGTAGCCCATCTGGAAGGCGCGTCGGGTGGCCACCCAAGATCAAGAAGGGTAGTGATAACAACGGCAATGGAATCTTCCAGTCCCCCGTCTATGATTGGCAGGGACGGAACAAAGCTGGCCACGGATACTGCTCCAAGTTTTCACAACACCTTGGCGCGTGCCACCAGGCATGCTGCGCCACACGCTCGCCAGCGCCTGCAACTGCTCACGACGACGTCCTGTATCCTGAGCACTTTCCCGCAGAAGCCCTGAAAGCGCGAACCTCAGCTTGGGGAAGGCCTATGGCACTGTGGCTCCAAGTGCCAGCGCTGAAGGACCCAGCTTTGAAAAGCTTGCTGGAGCGCCCACAAAGCCTGGCGAGATACTGCAGCCGCCGAGCCCTCCGAAACGTCGTCCTTCTCCTCATCCTGACCTGGGAAGCACATCTCCGCCCCCAGGCACTCATCAGAACACCCCAATCATTGACCGCCTCGGAAGCCTTCATCGGGACTCCTAATCTCTGAAGCTCGGCCCCCAAATCACGAGCAAGCTTGGGATTAGACACGATGACCGCACTCTTCGCGGAGACTCTGCAACCTATGGAATTGACGTCCCGAAAGAAGGAGAGGGCCGCCTGAGGAGCAACCTTCAGCATATACTGCGAGGTGCCATATATGCATTGTGTGATGCCGTCCACTTACGACTTGCCAGGCATCTGAGGGGAACGAGAAACGCGCGCGATCCAACACATAGCGCAAGAGATCATTCACCCACGGCATAGCCTGGGTACACCTCGCAAGCGCAGAGCTGCCGGTGAGTATCACGCCTGAGAGCGTGCCCTCGACCTCAAACAAGCGGGGACTCGTAAGCGTCGGAAGGCCTAGGTCCAGCAACTGGGGCGGATAGCCTGGCTTGAGTTCAAGCTGGATCAGCAACTCGACATCGACACTATCAAAAAGAACTTCTATATATAGACATATATATATATATATCCCAGTGTGTCGCCATCGACTCAATCCCGAGGGATCCTCGCGACTTCGTACGAAACAGCCCTCATGAGGGCACTCTGCAGGGCTGACAAGCACGGGATAATAATCCCCAAAGTCGGTTTGATAATTGTTCCATTCGTCAATCATGCCGCCCCTCATCCGGCAGTACACCCGGCACATGGAACAGGATTTGGACACAGCCCTTTCATCAGATGCACTCTTCGGAAGCATGGCCATCAGGTTAAGCATACACTGGGTGGGAAAGGTGAACGCGTGCGCTTCGTGGGCGAAGATCTGCAAAACCCTTCCTGCGCGTGCCATGAGAGAGAGAGAGAGAGAGAGCCACTCGCGAGGGAATCATTGATCAACTCTAATATCCGCGCCTGCAGAACAACAGTGCCAGGCTTGCACAAGGTCCCGAACCTCCAGCTCTGGGGCCTCCAGGACACCAGTTTGGGCAGACGCTTTGAGCTCCTGGAGGGACTCATTGAGGAGCTTCGGATTGGAGTCTGAGGGGGCCCACCAGTTGCCCCAGACACGTTCCCTGTGCTGCACCATCTCACGATGAGTCTGCTAAGCGCCATTAACACCAAGACAATCTCAAACCGTAACTCGATCATCAAACTTAAGCCACCTGTGTAACTTAGGTGCCCCTCCAGGGAAGGAGGAATAGGACTAACGATAGGAAGAGAGGTAAGGATGAGTAGGGAGGATGGGGGAAAGAGCAGAGACGAGGAGAGGAGGGGAATGAGGAGTAGCAGGCGGAAGGGGCAAGGAGGAGGTAGACCAGGAGGACGGAGGAGGATAGAGAAGCTCCCTGCTCGCCTCTCGCTGCTCTTCCGCCTCCTCCTCCTCCTCCTCTTCCTCCTCGCCGCTCCTCTTGGCTACTCGTCCTTGTTACTCCTCTTTCCTCCTCCTCCTCCTCCTCCTCCTCCTCCTCCTTCTCCTCCTCCTTCTCCTCCTCCTCCTCCTCCTCCTCCTCCTCCTCCCCCTCCCCTCCCCCTCCCCCTCCTCCTCCTCCTCCTCCTCCTCCTCCTCCTCCTCCTCCTCCTCCTCCTGCTTCTCCTCCTCCCCATCCCCCCTCCTCCCCCTGCTCCCCCTCCGCCCCATGCCCGATCTCCCTGCGACGACGGCGACGATCAGAGCGGCGGCCAGCGACAGGCTGGCAGACCTCCGGGACGCGCATGTACACCAAGACCCTGGCGTGCGGGTCCCACGAGGCCGCGCCCGGCAACGCCCGCACGAGCGCGATGCCCCGGTGGCGGCCGGGCGGCAGCTCCTGCCGGGGAGGGAGAAGAGGACGAGGGAGGGAGGAAGGGAGGGAGGTGGGAGGGGGAGGAGGAGGGCGAGGAAGGCGAGGACGACGGGGAGGGAGGTGGGAGGGGGAGGAGGAGGGCGAGGAAGGCGAGGACGACGGCAAGGAAGAGGGGGGAGGGGGAGGAGGAGGAGGAGGAGGGGAGGATTCGACTGGCTGGATTGCAGAGGGCCCTTTGGACAGAGATGAAGCAGGTCAGAATGAGAACGCATGGGATGAAGTCCGAACCCCGAAGGGAGAAATGATATCATGGAGGAGGAAGAAGAATTCGCCGGCCCAACGGGCCAGAGGCGTGCTAAGATCTCCGGTAACTGGTAAACAGTATTTCTAGTTCGCGCGCGCGGGGCGGCCCCTGGGGGTCCCTGGATCAAAAATACCCCGGGAGGAGCCCGGGACACGCCCGGGACACGCCCGAGACACGCCCGGGACACTCCCCCAGATCCTCCAGGATAGCTCCAAGAGGGCCCCAAGAGGCCCCCAACACAATCCAAGAGAGGTCCGAGACGCCCGAAGATCGCTCCACGGCGCCCAAGATGGCCTCCAGACGGCCCAAGACGTCTCCAAGATGACCCAACAAGCCACCAAGATGCCCCAAGAGACCTCCAGGAGCACTCCCAAGAGGGCCCCAAGAGGCAAAAATCAATGATTTTTTCTTAGGTTTTGGACAGATTTGGGCGTTTCAACCTTTTCGGTTCCCCGACGCCCCTGAACGGCTCAAGAGGCCTCCAAGATCGCCCCAAGAGGGCCCAAGAGGCCCTCAAAAGGGCCCCAAGACGGCCCAAGACGGCTCCAAGACGGCCCCAGAGGCCTCCAAGACGGCCCAAGAGGGCCCCAAGAACGCCCCCAACACGGTCCAAGAGAGGTCCGAGACGCCCGAAGATCGCTCCACGACGCCCAAGATGGCCTCCGGACGGCCCAAGACGTCTCCAAGATGGCCCAAGAAGCCTCCAAGATGCCCCAAGAGGCCTCCAAGAGAACTCCCAAGAGGGCCCCAAGAGGCAAAAACCTGTGCTTTTCCTTTGTTGTTGGACAGATTTGGGCGTTTTAACCTTTTCGGTTCCCCGACGCCCCTAAACGGCTCAAGAGGCCTCCAAGATCGCCCCAAGAAGGCCCAAGAGGCCCCCAAGAGGGCCCCAAGACGGCCCAAGACGGCTCTGAGACGGCCCCAGAGGCCTCCAGGACGGCCCGAGAGGGCCCCAAGAACGCCCCCAACACTACACAGCTCCCGACGCCGCAGCTCCACACTGCAAACGACCACTCGGACAGGCGACCACGGTGCGACATTATGGGCCGGCGGAATGAGCGAAGCGATGAAACAACAAGGTCTCGCTGGCGTCTTGGAGTCGTTCTGGGACCTCCAGAGATCCTCCATGGCCGCTCCTCTCGAGGGCAGGCCGTATAGCGGAATCATGAGAGAACTTTGAAGCTTCCAGAGTTCGTCAACAATGAATGCCCAAGGGTGTGGACTGAATCCGAGTATGTGCCGGCCATATTGGCGCAGCCTTTGGACCTGTTGAAAGGGAAGAGGCGAGGAAGCAGAGAGAAAGAGTGAGTGGAACGAGGGGCCGAACTATGCAGGAAGAGGGGCGAGAGTGCGGGGAATGGAACATGAGGAAATACGACTAGGCAATGATGCCGGGCGGTCTGCGGAAGCAAGGAACGAGACTGCGGGGCGATGTGCGGAAAGAGGGAACGATAAGGCGCCCTTTGTCTTCTGCGCAACGCTTGCAGGACGGCCAAGCAAAATGACACGCCTATGCGCGAATAGCAAACCGTGCGGCCCGCGGAATAATATTCGCGACTGCATTCTCAGCAGCCAAGTCTGTCAGCCTAACACGCCCAGGCGTAGGTCGGGCCTGTCCCCCTAAAGGGGGATTTTGGACTAAGAACAAAAAATAGTAATTAAAAAAAGTATTCAAAATATGCCCCCAAATACTCAAAACAAAATAGTCCCCAGACAATTGTTTGACTAATTTTGGATATTTTCCCTATAGAGGGACAGGCCCGATTTAAACGTATGCGAATCGCATACCGTGCGGCCCGCTGAATAACATTCGCGGCTGCGTTCTCAGCTGCCAAGTCCGTCAGCCCAACACGCACAGGCGCGAAGAACAGATCGACTGGCACGCTGAATAGTCTCGCTGCTGAGAACCTATGGAAGAGGCACAGGTTATGTTGTTCCCACTGTGCTTAGGGACCACATCCCAAAAATAATCTCGAGCACCCGGAGAAGTGTCGAAACGGTGTCGGAATGATGGCGGAACAGTGTCGGGGCGAGCGTCTCCCAGGGCCCGACACGTGAAAACCCTCGCGAGTTTCGGTACTTTTCTGGTGCTCGAAATTCGTTCTGGTGGTCAAGGCGAAAGTAGGCTATGAGAGAGGAGGACAGACGAGGGAGGCTCACGAGCGACCAGACAGATGCGGATGCGGATGCGGCCCGCGTCGAGGCGGCGCGGGGGCGGTGCAGGGGGGCGCCGGGGCGCAGCGGAAGGATGATAAAGGTGAAACAAGGGAGGGTGAAACAAGGGATGGGGTAGAGACAGGAATGGATAAGGAAACCACTGCACATAATAGTACAATGTGTGTGAAATATGAAACAATACGCCATTCCCTGCTCAACGAAGCCTGGCTTTAATATGTACCACGCCTCTGTTGCTGCACATGCCAATGACTCCGTCGGGGTCGTTGGTGAGTTCAGAACCGTTTGTTGCGCGTGTCGCAGCACATCGTCCCACCATCGTGTCTTCGGTCATCCAACCCGTCGTTGCGTCTGTGTCTGCGCATCCCGTTCAGGATCCCAGACGCTGCAGACAAAATACTGAGCCCTCCGCAAACGGACACGCCCTCCGCGCTCCGGAAGCCAAATATGTGCTCCAACGCGACTTGAGGTGGGCCCCAACGCGATCTGAAGGCGAGACGGAGACGGGGAGGGATGGAGGAGGGAAAAAGGAAAAGTGCATGACGAAGGAGTGGACGGAGGGTGAGCGGGTGGAACCGAACGCACCACAGGACTTGCCGCGCGACAGGGCCCCAGGCGCTTAGCGAGCCCAAGGACCCTCGCGCGCGCCGCGAGGAGTGGCCGCATCATCCACAGAAGGGCAGCCTGCGCGTGCCTGGATGATTCTCCCTTGTTCGGAAGAAGGCCAATTGAGATGCGTTCCTCCGCCCCCACTCGTCCGACCCGAAACAGGCGGCCTACGCGCGCCTTGCCGACGGCACCTCCACCGCGTCGGAGACGCTCGCCCTGCGGAGGGGCTCGGGCCTCAGCAGGGCCTCCAGGCACGCCAAAGCTGCATCGTCGTGCGCGCCGCCCATGCTCGCCATCGCTTGGGCATGGGAGCCAGCTTGGGCGAAGAACTCGAGCATCTCCCGCGTGGCCTGCGCAAGGGATGCGCCACGGCACCACCGCACCGACAATTCGAGCGAGCCCTGCCCGCCGACGGCCTCCAGGAGAACCACCCCTAGGCTCCAGCAGTCTGCCAGCTTGGGCCAGCATGGCTCCTCCAGCGCTGTCTCTGGAGCGACGCACGGGAGAACGCCGCACAAGGTCTTCCGCGAGCTGAAGTCTGGAACGCGGGCTGCCATGCTGAAGTCCAGCAGGCGGCAAACGAACCGATTCCTCACCATCTCCACCGACGCGTGCCTCGGCGAAACCTGCCGGTGAGCAACATCAATGGCGTGGCAATAAGACAGAGCACTCGCGACCTGGGTGGTGCAGTCCAGGGCGTCGTCCCTGGACAAGCGGCGGTCTGATTGAGTCGACAGCACCTGCTCCACGCAGGCGTCGCCACCATACTGGGGCACCAGATGCACATGGGACTGGCTGTGCAGCATGGTTACGCAGCGGATTATGTGCGGGTGGTCGATTGTGTGTTTCAGGAGGCAGAACTCCTGGCAAATGCTCTCCACCTCCTCGGCAGCCGCGACGCTGCGCTTGTTGCGCTTCTTGACAACGACAGAATCGTGTTGCCCGTTAACTGCCAACAAGACATGCTGATGATCTGCATACTGCTGCACCAGCCGGAACTCCCCGACCTGGTCCTCCCGTTCCAGCAAGCCCCCGTCTAGGGCGGGAAAGCCGGGCATTAACAAGTTCGGAATGGCATCCCATAGAAGACTGTCAAGTTCGTCCTCGATGGTCTGGCACTCGAGTACTTCCCTTCTCAAGGTGTCCTCGTAGGGTTGCACGCGCAGCTGAATCTCTGTGTTTGCCAGAAGCTCCAGACGTACCTTGTTCTGTAAGCTCTCTGGGTCACACTCCAGCTCCATTAGCACGCCGCTCGTCCCCAGGCTATAGAGCGCATCTTGGCGTTCCATCAATGTATGGAGGTCGCTCTCGGTCAGCTCGGTACCGGACCGATCTGGCAACTGCACCAAGAAAACGCAAGCGTCAGGATGCGCGGCCCTCAGATGGCCCACGAGACGCGTCAAACCCGTATCCTCCTTCTTCGTCCTGTACACGGACGGGATCACCACGGCCTCGTGCTGCTCCACCATCTGGGTGATCCTGTCCATGCTCATATCTCCATGGCCTGCCTCGGGGGCGAACACAAATCTCGGCGCACCTTCCTTGCGTACCCGACCTCGGGCGCCAACGCCCCAACGACGGGTGCGGCGACCGAGCCAGGGCCGCCGCCCCGCGAGCGCCCCGCGTGGGGGGTGCTTTCGGTGACGCGCACAGTCCCCGACCAGGCCAGCCTGGGCGTTGAACCCCAAGGGCGGGCGGGAGAGGCGGACAAGGGGCCGCCAACGACCGAGGCAGCCGCGCACCCAGGAGCGGGTGGGCGGGGCAGAACGGCCGACGGGCCCGCGCCGCGCGAGCGCCGCACGAGCGCGGTGCCCAAATCAATATAATCGACAACCTGCGAAGCGAGCATCGCCAAGGCGCGCCGCGATCCGCCCAGTGCGCGATCCCCGCGGCGCGCCTGCGCGAGCGACCGCGGCAGGCCCGCGCGAAACGACAC